CATGAGCGACATCAGCTCGAGCATGAACCCAAAGTTCTACAACAAGTACCTCTGGTTCTGGATCGTGTCTGAAGCCATATCGCGCACCAACCTCTTCTTTCTGTACGTCGCGTTTAGTAGACACTTCCGCAACGCCGTCAAGCTCATCCTGAAATCCACGTTCCCCGTCGCGTGGCGTCCCACCATGCGATGCCCTTTCCAAATGCAATCCTGCCGCATTCCCTCCCAGCTTCATGGACCCGCAATGAGACAACTTACACCTGCAAGAATCCTGAAACTTTCTAATCGAAAAGAGAACGGCAGATTCGGCGGCGATGCAACACTGACTAAGCATATGTGGATTTCCTTTGAAACAAGAAATTCTTGAAGCCGTACGGCAAAAAACCATGCCGACGCTAACTTTGCACCGTGTGGTCATATTCGATTAAAAGGCAACGGCGCCAATGCCAACGATCAAAATTATGTAGTTGATTCGAACACCTGAACAATGAATGAACTTGAATTATCAACCCTCAACTACATTCAGCCATCGAATCGAACAACCATTCGGGCGGGCGTGATTTATTTGCGAATATGCACTCAAATTCGGCCCCATCGGCATAACTACGTTCAAACCACACGCAATTTCTATCGTGATAAAGACATGCGTTTGTTGTTCGAATTCGTCGTTCTGTCGGTGTCCTTCATGGCCTGACACAAACAGTTTTGTTCATACTGTGAATATCAAAGTGACATAATAATAAATTTGTACGACGAATTTAATTCAGAGTTTTTATTGCAGCAGCAATTAATCTAAAATTAATGGACATCGATTTCTATGCTGTGATGATAAAAACTCCACCGAATTCGCAACTTGACAGGTGCGGGTATAAATCTGTTTTCGACTCTAAAACTGGCAAATCACGTTTAGTTCCGCAAAGAGGACAACAGGAAACGACCTTCAAGGTTTTCATGAATGAATAAATTCGTTAAATGAGATTCTAAACGCTTCAAAGTCTAATCGTTCCGCCTTACAGAAAACCCTTCTGTCGACGAAGTGACGAATATCACGATCTATCCAAAGATGGCCTCATTATGTAAAAGTTCTGATGACGTTACAGTAACTCTTCGTCGCTCATCAATTCATTTATTCATTAAATCATTCATCCATTTATTTGTAGATTTCGTGAATCATTCATTCAATTGTTCCTTCGTTTATCCATTTATTCAGAAATAAATGAATATCAGTTTGAAAGTTGCCATAACGTTCGCATCCCGGCTTTGTTCCTCTCCACTTAGTCATTCACTATCCGCCCATCATTTCCAGAACCTGCAGTTTCTTTGGAATCAATTTCGGGTGGTGCGTTCGGAAATCAGGCGCAGAATCCTTGATGCACTTGTAACAAGTCTTTCTAAGCCCTCCTAGACGTCTACTATCGGTCGGTCGAGCGAGGAGCTGTCGACTTTGACTCCATTTTGGTGGCATTCAGAAGAAATTGCCAAACTATCTCACCGCGATTGATCAGTCTTAAAAAGTGGCGCTTTTCAATGGATTCGTCATGGATTCTCAATTTATGGAGTTCTTAATTTTGCACAAATTCCATTGATTCTTCAGAAAAACTTCTTCTTGGCTATATGTCCTCGCTTTCAATTCATTTTTTTTCAGTCATTGTCCATGTTAAATAACCGGAGATGAGGGTGAGAATAAAAACCGATTTGAATAGTCGAGCTTCGTTCGAAAAATCAGCTCCACCTTTTTTACGACGATCCGTCACAGTTCAAAAATTGTTCCACCTGCCATACCTATTCGTCGTTCGATCACTTTTTTCCGTCTTCCGTAACTCATAAATGTGATCCTCAGCAATTGGACTTTGTCCATCTTTCCACTAAAATGCAAAGCACACTGAGCAGGAGATTGAGATACCACAACTGCTTCCGATTTAGCCGAATTTATCCCCATTCTAATCACCTATCACGTACCTTGAGATATTTTGCGGATAATGGGATAAGGCAAAGGGCGTCTGTGGTCAAAAGACCTCTATTTTCGGCCTGTCCAATTTTGATGCAGTGCTAAAATTCGCTGCATCTGTCTACCCTGTCCAAATAGATAATTAACAGGTGTGGTGACAAAATCGCCTAATGATGGGGTCCAGAGTCAACGGTAAATGACTTCGACTCAACACCATTTATTCTGACACAATCTCCTGTTATCGTATACAGTTATTGAATGGCATCAGCAGCCGGCCATTAATCTCATACCCCTGCAAACATGACCACAACCAATAGCGATTAATCCGGTCGTAAACCTTCTCCAGATCTGTAACACACAAGTAAAGTGGTTGGGAGAACTCTGAGATTTTCTCTCAAATCTGCTGTGGAGCAAATATCTGGTCGATCGTGCTTCGGTCAGCTTTTAACTTTCTGAACAAAATTACAAATGTGACGGTCAGATGATGTTCAAGCTGCAACAACCGTACAGCCAAATTTTCCCCGACTTTGATCATTCGCGTAGTGAAGAAGATTATTTTCTATATTTTCTGACATCATCGCTTATGCATTAATCGAGTCTTACTTGCCGCCTGCGCATGAGCTATCAGTCTCCATTCAGAGGGTAACAAAACTGACGAAAATTATTTCGTCACGCTTTCTTCACGAACTGATACTGACATCCGACGGAACCTTTCCGTCCAGTTAGAGAATAATTCTCTCAAACAGATCGGCAGTAAAAGACGCTAAAGGGATCTGTCAGCCTGAATCACCACAACACACCGGTTGGTCGATCATTTCCAAGTTCCAGCAAGGCTGCCACGAAGAAGCCGGACGCAGTTGCTTATTGTAGTGTACAATCAGGAATGAAATGAAAGACCGTTAATTTCGAAATATTAAATGTTAGAAACTTTTACATGTTGACACCCACCCTCCAAACAGAAAGCAAAAACTGTTACAACTGCTTTGGCGAAGGTTTGGGATCGCGATGGACGGAAGACAATTAAAATGAACAGAAATCAGCACTAGACTGCATGACTTCGCGAGACGAAAAGGTGCAAAATTTGACATGGCTTGAACTCGATCTCCCACAGTGGTAAGAGGTCGACTTCGACCTATGTACTGCTCGTTCAAATACTGAAAATTTTTATTTAATGCCAATTCTCCTTAGCTGGGAACTCATGCCACGTCACTTGGGTGCAGCCAGCCAGCAAACCGGTAACAAGTCGCTGACTTGTGTACAACAACGGCAACTTGGTATTCTGATGTTGTCAGAGCAGAATGCTCGAGAGGTAGGAGATGCTTCCTTATACGAACGGCTCTTGAGGCTTCACTTCGTTCTGATTCACCGAATGAATAACCATTAAATCTTGTTGTTTGTTTGGCTATTTGAGAGGAATAAGACTTAAGTTACCATAAACCCTCTGAATAGAGGACGACATTTACTGTTACTTTACTGTCATTGAAATATGCTGAATTTACTGCTTAAGTGACTTAGGATAGTGATAGAACTATTTTCAGAACACACGGAACCTTACTACAGAAGAAGGCACGGAAAACGGCAAGTTTTTGCACTTTATTCCGCGTTATATAGAGGAAAGCGATTTCAAAGTCTCTGATGTGTCTTAAGCCAGTGCTGCTTATACACTGGCGGTCAGGCGGAAGGATTAAAAGTTTTCTTCTGTGTCACCATTTCTTCATTAAAGCATGGCGAAGTCGTTGCGTTATGTGACGTACCACCTGGACGAAAGGCGATCTCGACGACTTCCAGAAAAACATGCAAAAGATGCAGAATATGCCTTATTGACATCACAAAACAGTGAAAAGCATCCTTCGGTCAATTACGCGGCTAAGATTAACGAAATCTGAAGAATAACCTAGCACATAAGAAAAATAAACCCTGCTTTATGAATTTGGCAGCACACTGGTAGCTCTCAATACCGCCGGTAAGGATAACTTTCTGCTTGCCAACCATTCCGATTTACAGGTCATTTCCTTGCTTCTGGTAGCCTAAAGAAGCGTTTAAGTAAGCCACGGCTCCACGGTATTTTATCATCTGCAGTATATGGACTCAGAACGGCACTACTCTATTGGTTTGAAAAAAAAACGTTCGAATACCAAAGAATATACCTCATTCCGCGCACATGTATATCAATCGTGCTTCGTCATGTATTTCTATAGGATTGACGAAGAAAATGTTATTCCTACCGGCGGCACTAAGAGCCCACAGTATGCTCACAATCCATGAGGTTGGGTTTACTTCTGGTATATAAATATATCACCGAAATGAGGCGTATTTGCTTGTATGCGAACATGTTTTTGTTCGGCCCAACAAAGTGGTGCTGTTTTGCACTGGTGCACTGCAGGCGCGAAGATACCATGTTGCCATGGCTTATTGAAACAGTTTTATAGGCTATTAGAAACAAGGAAACGGTGCTTCGATGTGTAAATCCGAAAGATTGACAAGGAGAATGATAATTTAGCATAGTTCTGCAAATTCATGTATTCATTCTTCTGAGCCAACGATGAGTACGCTGCCAAGGCAACAAAACTGTGCATACGAATAATGAAACGAGATCGTCTGAAGTGCAGCTACATTCGTCAAGAAAACATGCTGCCGACAAATACTGAATGTAACTTATCTTTGCAAAGGAAAAAAGAATACCCTTCGAGCATACTTTCTGACAAATGACCCAAATGTACGTACACAAACAGCAAAGGTATGGAATAAATACATCCCATGCAGATTTGGACAAAGAAATCTCTTCACAGCGTCATTACGTCTGATGCAATCGACTGAATCAATCATCTGTTTGGTTTCAAGAAAGGGAGAGAACTGTTGTTGGAAATGCAAAACTTGGTGTTAAAGCATTTCCAATTGGTTTTCACAATTAAATACTGAAAGATAGCATCTCGAATAGCTTCCGTATAACGAAATCAATACAGCATGCTATCGCGTGTGACTTCCATTCACGTGTAATATCAATATCTCAGATGGCCCAACAGTTCCGTGAAGATCACTCACCCGCATCTGGTGCTTAAACGATGCCTAATCTCAAAAATGATATCGTACTATCGATATTGCCCAGTGCGAATTCTGCACACCTTCTAATATATTTCGATAGCGTTGCTGACAGATTGTTCCACCGATCATAACTGCCCAGGTTTATTAATTTTAAATCATGAGAATATATGATAATATAAATATAAATAGTAATAAATTGGTGTGGCTATTCCACTGGATGAAAATGCGCAGAAAACATGGGTAAAGAAAACATGAAAATGTCAACATCCGGCAATCAATCTAAAATGCGCGAACTGAGGTAGTGGTCATCTCTGCAAATGGCATCCCGTCGAAGTCAGTAATCAGTAACAGCCAGCTTCGACAACCTGCAAATTACG